ACAGACAAAATAGTCTCCTTTCTTCTTAAAAGAACGGTTAGAAGCATTGGGTTTACAATCAGATTTCCTGTTCTTCTTGTCTTTAGGTTTAGAATCATACCTCTTGTTGTGAGGTTTTGTCTCCAACAAGTTGGCTTTGGATGTCATTTCTTTGGTTCGGGTTGCACGTATTGCCTTGCAATTGGTGTCTTTGATGATGATGTGAGTGATCAGGTCAGTCAAGAACAGCTGCTTCTGTTTGTGTTTCAGTTGCTGTTTGTAATCAGACCAAGATTCTGACAGCTTCTCAATCAGGATCCCAGCAACGAACTTGTCTGAAAGGTTAATGTTTTCAGCATGAAACTCCTCCAGCAGCTTATGATATTTGTTGATTTGCTCCTTCACATCCTTGTTTTCGGTCATCTCCCATTTGTAGTAGTTGCCCACAACGAACTTTTGTTTGCCAGCATCCTCAGCAGTGTACTTTGTCACCAAAAACTCTCATATCTTACAAGCTTCCTTATAGACACAATAGACATCAAACAAATCATTAGATAAAGTGCTAATGATAGTGTGCCAGTATACCTTGTTTGCATGAGTCCATGCAACTCTCTGGGCTTGATCAGTATCAGCAAGAGGCTCGGATTGAGCAAGAGCAGCAGCCATACCATGTATGTCAAGAACGGTGAAGACTCGTTCCTGCCAGTGTTTGAAGTTCTGGCTGTCAAAGACTTCTATCTTCAATATGTCTGGGAACGACCTCGGTAGGGGGACAACAACAGCGACAGGGACGTACTGACCTCTAGCTGAACCACTGTGCATGCCTTCAGGAGTGACATTTTTAGTACTGTTTGTCGCCATTGGATTGAATAGTTCTTAAGATTGTAAGTGGCACCACGGCAAACGTGAACAGCAAATTTCTATCTACTTGAGTCGTGCCCAAAAGGACACTGTCCTTAAGAACTATTCTGGCACACCTGGATGACGGACTGGCAGTTTTTCAGAATTAAACAAGCACTTCCTGCAGTAGAGCAAGGGAGCAGAACAATAGAAACTAAAAGTAAATACAGACGAACAGAAGGCAGAGGGAGGAGAGAACCTTGAAAACTCAAGAGGCTTATTCTTTTTGTCAGCACCCAGGGCTTATATATAGCCCGAAAATGGAGACACAAATGTTGGGTCATAATCACCGATCAAAAACGCACACAAAAATGCTTAGAAAAAAGGCACACGTCCATTAATCCAAAAACGCTTAGCATTCATTAATTCGAAGATGTTTGGCAGACAAAATGTTTAAGTCATTAACCTACAAAATTGATTTTCAGAAGAGGTTTAATGTGCAAAAACTGCCAAGACCTCAAGTTCAAATTCAAAACAACAGCAAAATCAAAGGTTTTCGGGTAAGCTAAAAATAATTAATTATTTTTGTAAAAATAACCTGATAAAAGGAACCTAATGCCTCTTGAACTCGCATGCAGGGGGCGAATTGGCTGATTTCAACTATGATTGCCCTGTGTTAGCTTGTCTCATATGTGTGAGGTCACTTCTTCTCCAAGCTGATTTTACTAACCCACTTCATTCCTTACACTAGGAGAGTCTTTCTTTTATTCAATATGGGACTTTGACACACACGCTTTTGACACACATACAACACCACTCGTGTCACCCAAATCACCCTCAATCCTGTCGGCTAATCTGGTTCACCCCTCTTTTTCATATGCACGAGCTTGGACATGAGAATGAAGTTGCTTTTGCCTGAGCCTTTCATTGTCCTCGGTGAAAGCGGTGGAGGAGTTGTAGTGCTGTTTATAAGGAGAAGCGATCAGCGGTGAATTATACCATTTGTGCCGGTTGTCGTTCGGAGTTGCTGGTAGGAGATCGAGATGCTGAGTTTGGAAGGAAAGGGAATGAAAGTGGGGAACGTTGACGCTGGTGCTGTGATGGTTCTACTGAGTGATGATAATGAGGCTAAGCCTTTTACTTCCAATATAGCTTTCACACAGCAAGTACTTCTCTCCGTTTTCCTTCGGTTGAGCCATTTTCCTTCGACACAATCTTTCTAAATATCCATCCTGTGTTCAGTTCAGAAATACGAGATTAACATTCACTCATGATGACAAAATAAGGAATAAGACTCACATTGCAGGAGAGAATATTGTCGGTGAATGAACAAGAATAGCTGACGGCGGATAGTGAACGGTAAAGTTCCAGAAGAAGCCGACAAGAAGAAGGAGGGATACAAAGATATTTTTATAATGAATTAATATGCAATTTAAACTTTATGGACAATTTGAGCTTAAACATTTAAAAAGTATATTATAAATTTTAAATAATTAAAGTGGGTATAATTTTGTCCTAATATTAAATTTAAATAAATATTTTTTAGTTTTTTTTAAATTAAGGCCTAATATGTCAGTGTTATCAAATATTACTCTCTCTCTCCCCTATTTTTATTTGAGAAAAATCACATATTATATCTTATTTTTTAAAAAATTAACGGACATTAGTTTAAATTTATGGTGAGATGAAATTGTCTCAACTTTAATTATTTAATATTAAGAATAGGCTCTTTCTGTTCAAAAAGTAAAGTATTTTTAATTGAATCTTACCTCTCAATAAAGTAGTTACATACTTTTAAACTAACTCTATCTGTTCATATTTACTCCTATTAAATATCCTATAATAAATATAAAATTATTATTAATGAGGGCACTTTTGAAAAAACAAAGCAATGATTATATTTTGAAAGATAAAAATATTTTATATTTTTGAATATCTAACTCTTCAAAAAATACCTTATATTTTTAAATGAAAGAAGTATCTTGTAAAAATTTAAGGTTCAAATTATCTATAGACTTATAGTTTATAGTTTTGAATCGCATATTAACTTTTTTTTCATAATTGTATATAAAATCATATTTACATTAAAAAGACTTAAAATTTTAAATTTTTTTAATGTTTCGTGAGATTTTATTGTGTTTTCAAATCTACCCTCTTATATTGTAAGGATGGTTCTTGTAGACCTCTTTTTACTTTTTATAGTAATTATTAATTATTATATAGTAAATAAAAAATAAAAGATTAAGATTATAAATATTTTATAATAGAAAAGGTGGGTATGGGTCTTATAGGGAAAATAAGCGGTGAATATGAAACTAATTCTAAAAAAATCTTTTTTAAATTATAATATAAGATATCTTTTAAAAATTTTGCTTAATTTAAAATATTGTATTAATAATTTTTATAATTATTTTTTAACTATACCCTGCTTCATTTATTACATTTTTTTAAAAATCATATATTAAAATTTTAATTATCATTTTCAAGGCACTTAGAAGAAGTATTTAATAAGGATATAATTGAAAAGATGTAAATTTTTTAAAAGATATAAATTTCATTATATATACTTTATAATCTTATTATTTTAAAGCAAAAATATAAATTTTTAAAATATCTTTAATTTAATACAAGATATAAATAGAGAATCAAATATAATAAATTGGGAAAGGTGATATTGAACAAATATAATCAATGAAACTTTAAGTATTTTATAATTTAGGATACTAAATTATTTCCAAATGTGTCTTGAAAATTTAGTGGAGGGACTATATATGTCACAACTTACTTTATATTATTTTTATTTTTATACAAAAAAGAAATACTTCATGAAAGTTAATAGATCTCAATTTAAAAAAAAATGGTATATATGAAACCTCAAATAAGAAAATATGTGTGAAATGTGCAACAAAATTCAAATGAAAATTACACAAATTGTAAAATTGTATGTAAAAGAGAATTATAACATAAAAAATAAGTTGCTAATTGAAATAAATTTTAATATATAGAATCAAAAAAATAAGTGAACTTGGCTCATACAAGTTCATCTCATATTCTCAAAACCTTTCCCCTTAAAATTAATTATTTTTTAAAATCAATATTCATTAAATGGGCTCAGGGTTGAGCCTGAAAATCCATTTTTTTTAATTTTTTTAAAAATTAAGTTTGATATTATAATATTATATATTCATTATTTAAAATATAAATTATAATGTTTTAAAATTCATAATAAATAATATAAATCATTTTTTTAAAGTACCCTATGTAGTTCGGGAAGACCACAGAAGCAGTACAATATAGTTCCCGTAAATTCAGCGCAGCGTTAGGGACCACAAAACACCATCGTCCACGTCAGCAAATGTCACAACGCAAGCTTTCTTTTCGGCAAGACAGGTACACAACACAGCTTTGAAGAGCTCAAATACAGAATGAATCAACGAAAGATCTTACACGCCAAGTAAGGGATTTCAGTCTGTCGTCCAAACAAGAGATGAGGTCACCTCGAGATGTGTACCGTACTCTGTAATGTTTACGGTGATTCGGTAGGAGGACCGTGAGCTTCAGTAAATGCTGTGCTTGCTTTCAGTAAATGCTGTGCACGTCCCGTCTGGTTATTGCTATTTTCATCTTGCCACACCGGTCCTGGTGATCTATGGCTATGCACAATGATCTAACTCAAAGCATGTGCCGTCTCTTCAATGCTAAGGACCATGTCATGAAGCCATTTTGAGAAGATTATCTATTATTCTATCACTATCTCCATATTAAGTTTGCGTTTGCAAACTAGTTTATCGTCGTCAAAACAAATTCAGTGCGTCATGATAACTAAAGTAAGTGGTGTGTTTTAAGATGTGTGTGCGCGTAATTTGAATGTTTTAAAGAAAAATTTTAAATTTTAAATTAAAATTTTAAAAATAAAAGAGAGCCCATATGCTGATAAATGACACAATATAAAATTCTAAACTTTTTCAATAAATTGATAATATTATTATATAACTAAAAATATCCCATGTGATTTGATCTCTTTAATGCTTGTGGATAATTAATATATACTCTATTTACGTTAGTGACGTTGATAATTAACTTTTTTTCAGGGATGAGGGTAATTTGGGTCGTCGGAAAAATTTAAATTAAATTGCATTTAATGGAACAAATGAAGGGTGACGCAACTGAACTTGAAAACCTTATAGGTCGGAATACAAAAATCATTTGAAGCAAATTTGTATCCAAACAACAACATATGAATAATAACACAGCTGAACTTGAAAAACTATCCAAAACTGCTTTGACTTAAACCTTAGATCGGGATACAGATGTCATTTGAAGCAAATTTGTATCCAAACATGAGGTTGCATTGTCAATAAGCTTCTTTCATGCAGGAAAAAAGATACATAAATTTAAGGAGAATCAAGAAAAAGAGGAAGTGCGACTTGTTTGCAAATGGGGCAGATGTTCTTCAGCTCGAGCCATGGCTTGATACAGTCTACGTGAAATCTGTGGGCACAGCACAGCTTGCCCAGATCTTCATTTTCATGGTACTCCTCCTGCAAATGGTAACAAGAACACAAGCATAAATCAAGACCGAGAGATGGGAACCGTTAAGTATAAGAAAAGCTTGAACAATTAATATAATAGGAGAGGCAAAATGAAGAAATTTTCATGAACGCCACTAAAAATTTCTATCCATGGACTAGAACTCCAAAAATCTCCTCCTGGGCTTGAATTTATTAAAATGTAGTGGACCTCACCTGACATATGCAGCAGCATTCGTTTTCCTCAGACCCAGCTGGGATGAGATGGAATTTTTCCTGCCTAAGGTGGCTGAGAATCATTTCCTCACTCAGGCCCGCCTCAATAGGCTCTGCTAGGGCAGCAAGATCCTGAAGCTGGAAATCATTAGTTTGAAAGGAATATTCGGAAAAAAGAAATTATCCAAATAAAATATAATCCCAAGAGGCCAAGACAGATTATTTACTATAACTGGGATGATCATTTAAGCGTGCAGTCTTCAAGGAAACATGTACAAGTGCAATACTTCCTTAGACGAAGAACAAAAGCGAAAGTGCTATTTAAGTGAGGCTTTACTTCAACTTTTACCTCATTTGTCCAGTCGTCTAAATCAAAATGCAGCTCATCTACATTGGCATGCTCCTGAAGGATATCCATTATAATTGAATGGTCCAACATCCTCAATTCCCGTGGAATCATCTGTGCTCACAAATAATGTAATATTCTATTAGTTTGTGTATGATTCTCGCTTAGGAGGACATCACAAATAATGCAACATTCTATTGGTGTGAAAACCTACCACAGGCTGCAAGGGGTCTTCACTGCGCATATGTGCCAGCCTATGGTGAAGCTGTAACATATGGAAATACAAAAGGCATCTGATTAGATCACGAATGCACCAATTAGTATATCCATTAAGGTAGTCATCAGAAAGATACTTAAATTTACTGTAGACAGTCGCCAAAATGATTTCAACTTGAAGACTGGCAAAATATAAGGTATTTAATTGCAAAGGAATTAATGCAGGTACACAATCACCATCACGTTGTCATGCATAATAGCTCAAGAATACATGCACGTGCATGCATAACCAAAAACCGAAAAAAAAAAAAATTCTTTAATATAATATAATCGCTTGTATTATTTGTATCAATTCCCATTTTTAGAGTCTTCTACATAAGCATACACAGTTCCACACATTACAACTAAATCAATTGTTTCCACTAAACAGTCATGGCTGAATCACCCCAGATATTCAGAGAGCATGTCATCAGGGCAAAGCATAAGTACTGGAAAAACCATTTAAGAACAGATGTCTCAAGTATACCTCAATACTCAGCCTCCTTCTGTTTGCAGCATTAGCAGGCGACCAAAACGAATGATAAAGGTGATCATAATAGCTATCATCTTGATTCTCGGGTCTTGCTTCTGATGCATGCAGATTCTGAGATATACCATTACCAAATCCAAAAGAAAATCAAACCCAATCAACATCAAATTTACCCCAAAAAAAAAAATACTAGGCAGCTAGAACCACTAAGACAGATTATAAGTTTTATGTAGACAATTTAAACAATCATAATTTACCATGGACAAGCAACCCAAAGAAAGAGCGAATTGATTTAAAAACAAAAGAAATAAAGAAATAGAATCGTAATCCCAGGATTAAAAAAGATATCTCCATCATGCATTATACATGTAATCATCATTAATGTATTAATTTCAATTTTTAGAGTATTGCCCAGGTATCTATCCACACATTACAATCTAATCAATTTAGTACCTGAACAATCATTGCTAAATCATCCGCATGTATTGAGATAGTGTATTATCATGGCCAAAGCATGTTTCTAAGCACAATAGCTAGAAAAACATTGAAGAAGGGGTGTATCAAGCATACCTCAGGCCTCAGCCTCATTCTATTTCGAGCATTAGCAAGTGACCATGTAAAATTAAAGGCAGCATGATTCTCAGATCTTGCTCCTGATGCATGCTGATTCTGAGATACGGTATTAACAAATCCAACAGCAAAGCGCAGTTCCTGTAAGACAGCTGAAAGATCTGAATCTGCTGGGCTGTGACTGGGCCAAGGGAAACCAGTAGTTGCAAGCACAGGGTGATTCACAATTCTTGATGGTGTCTGCATGTAACGATCAGCAAAACTGAACCCTGAGAACCAAGTAGGGGCATTTTCTGAATGAATTATACCAGAAACACAACCATGAAGAGGGCAGAAAAAATCTCCATGGAAGTTTGCAGCTCCATTAACAAAATGTGAGTTTCTTGCATCATGTACCCAATTTCTCACTCCAATTTGGCGGCTAAGCATAATGTTTTCAGTTATGTGTCTTGGGTAATGAAAGGGTGCCACAGCATCACTTTCCACTGTAGTATTGACAGGCAAAAATGAAGAAAAAACACTTCTTGGTCTCATCATGTTAATCCAGGGGGTAGCCTGTGGAGTTTCATGAAAAATAGGAACATGCCCATCAGGCTGCACTGAGAACAGTGGATTAATAGAACTTTCTGCAGATCTGAAGAATGGAGGATGGTTGACTTGGCCATACAAAGGTGACTGACTGGGTAACTGGATATGAGCATCCCTCCTGTAACCTGATGACAAAATGCTGGTTGGTAGAAAAGTTTGTTGATTTGCAGTTGTATGAAGATGAATGTTACTTCGGAAGTTTTCAGATAGTCTAGCTCCATTCAAATGCTGAACGTCAGAAACTGGCCCTATAGGACTATGACCAATAATGGTCTCAGACCGTTCTTGATGACTAACAGGGCTAGTGCAAGGAGTACATATGTTTAGCCCATTATTGCCATGGACTTCAGAAGCCCACCGCTTGGAAAATCCAGTTTGTGCAGCTGAGCTAGAACTCTCACCTACTAACAATTCCCTGACAGCATGTTCAGGAGACTTTCTCTTGCAGGATAAACGCCTCATACTAACTGAGCTGCTATCCAAACTTTGCTCTTGCACTGCAGAACTTGATCTTCCAAGATCAATTACAGTTGTGCAAGAGCTGCTGGTATTCTGATTTTCTAGTTCAGATGAATGAGGGCCGAGACTTAGTGACAAATTCAAATCGTTATAATAATTGTTCCGAGCATATTCTGCACCTGAGTCAACATTTTGAGGAACAACACCAGCACTGTGACCAATGCTTGGAATAATACTATTACTTGCTTGAGAGTGGAAGTCACTTGATCCAGAAAGCCCATCTGGGAACCTTCTAACATTTCCAGAAAGGGAAGTTAAAGGAGAAAACCTCAACACTTCAGACGATTCATGAGGAAAAGCAGCAGCACTGCGATCATTATTTGGAAAATTATTTAAACTCTCATTATAACCAGCATGATTTGACCGCGAAACCTGATCAGGGAACCTATGATCACCTGCAGTAAAGGAACTTGCAGTAGGTATCAATTCCGATGCTTGAATGAGCTGATGATTGACCTTGCTTTGGTTGTTGGCATTACAATTCAGGTGACTCATTCCTCCTGTCATAGCAAGGATATCATGAATCAAGATAGTGACAGCAAAAGTATCATGCATTATTTGTAATTAGCCCATGAAACCAGGTCGATTGTCAATCTTATATGTTCATAAGAAATTGGTGGTGATAAAGATTTAAACATCTGCACAGAGAGAAGGAAAAGGAAGTGTTACCTTGATGGTTCATCATTGCCTATGAGTTAGACCTGAAGGCTGAATATCCAGGAGAAAAATCCAAAAAAGGACCAGGTAGTGTGGCTAATTGCAGAGTCACTCAGGCTGCATGATGAGAACCAAGCAAATGGAAGTGAGTAATGAAAGAAAACAATATTTGCCTTTTCTAACCAACATCAGAACATTAGTCAAAACTATTCATATTACGCTCACAATTCTGCCGATGTAGTTATGTAAAACATGGCAACAAAGACAGAAAAAAAGCAAGTTACTAAAATGGTATATGAATAACTTCACAATAAGCCATGGATGTCAATAAAATGAGAAGATTGTGCATTTAAAAGCAGGATGACATAAATGCATTCATGGCAATGATATCTCAAACAGGATCACCAAAATGAAATGAATTCCAAATGAAAGAGAGTCTGAGAAAGCAATTCAAGAATTCAACAGCCCTTAACCATCTCAACATGAAAGATAAATCACAATTTAACAGGCTTGCATTAAATAAACTGATAAATAGACATCTCTCGCGCAAGAAGAGCTGGAAATAGTAGGCCTTATGTGCAAATAGTAGTATTAAATACAAACAGGAAGCTCGACTTAGAGGAAATGAACAATAATAACCAACATGGAAACTTAGAAGGGATACTTATTCAAAAAGAGTTTTTGAAACCACAGGCAAGATAAATATGATTGCTACATTAATGAATATACAACAAAACATTTCTTTTTCCAGCCACTACACCTGGAAATACAGCTCTGGAAGATCCAAATGGGGTGAACTAATTATTAATTTAAATGTCATAAAGCAAGGCTGTAACCGTAGCACACAATATCCAGACACTCAGTATTAACATTCACGACTGGAATATCTCAAGATATATTACCAAATACAGTAACTGAAGTCGACAAATGACTAGACGACTGTAATCATTCCCATGAACTCATGAAGTACGTAGCTAAAACCCTAGACTAAAACAGATTGATTCATCCTGCACGATCAATAAATATGTACATTCTCCATCATTAGTATTCAAAACATACAAAAGAACCCAGACATCAGCCTTCACTCAAATAAGGCATCTATTTAAAAAATATTAATTACATACCAAAAACCCCAATAGTCCAATACATACAACAAATGCAGCATAAAGAACATTGTATCCAAAACTAGAGGGGATGAGGACGCATGAAACTGAAGTAGTAGCGAGCAAAGTACAAGTAAACAATGCATAATTAGAACTTAAATTGGGGGGAGGGATATATCCATTATCCAAAAAGACAGATCTAATATGCTAAAGCAAGAAGTCCCATCTACATGTTTATTAGATATAACACAAGACACAGAGAGAGAGAGAGAGAGAGAGAGAGACTAAAATTGACAAACATGATAAGAAATGGCGAACAGTTTGATCAACAATCATTCAAGAGGAAAAATCCCTTAGTCACCTCAATCCTGAAAAAGATAACCAGTTTTGCAATTCATGCAATGCATGGATAGAAGCATATGAGAACATCAGACCAGAGAATGAGCATGCATCTAAACAAGTCCAACTACAATCTAAAATGATGAAGGTATATTGATAGGATCAACATGTTCTGCAGAGACAAAATTCAAAAAATCAAAGCTGACAAAGTGAAATACTTTAGAGGATGGTTAAGTTAAATCCTTATTTCCAACAATATATTCAATAAAATGTACGCCTGATTGGTTGTGATCAATTCTTGAACAATATCAACTGGTTTCATGATTGATTGGCATTTGAAGATAGAAATGTAAAAATAATCATCTATACAAGTGAAGAGGGGAATGATAACCAAAAAAAAAAAATATATGATGGATAATTAGAATATAAATTCCATTTTCTCTCCCTTAAAAAACGAGCATGATTTGTTTAGCCCTTTTCAAAATTCACGTAGAAAACAGAAAACACAGGATCATAGGTCTTATTAAACAATGAATTGAAATGATAACAATATCATTGTCAGTTACGAATTTATTAGGGGCCAGAATGACTGTTTGGATGGCCCAAAACGATAATTATGAAAAGCACAAAATGTGATTTTCTAAAAATTTATACAAACACCCATATTTTGATAAAATCATAAGCCAAAAAAATCATGATGAAAGCCAGCTCCCATATGCTTCTGCATTTTAATTAAATCAATCCTGCCCAAAATCATGCTTATAAATAATCTTTATCCAAACTCTGTTTTACCCAATCGTAGTCCTGACACACATTTTATCATCCTAATGTTTACTTGCTCTAATTACAACTCCAGTGCATAAAAGTTCAAAATCGTTCATAACGTCCCACTGCTTAAACTGTTAGGCTGGGGCCTAATTGACTAATTGGAAATGGAAGAGTAACCCAAAACAAATTGAAAACCTAGAACAATTTCATAATTTTATAAGCTTTGGGCCTCAATCAAAAAGCAAGAATTTGTGTCGTTGTGATTAAATTGTTGAATCCTTACAGCGAAGTGAAATGAATACACAAATTTACAAAATCGAAGCTAGAATTGGGCTAAGAAAATGAGATTTGATTTGAAGCAATATCATAAAAGCTAGTCCATGTTAAACAAAAGAAAATATTACGGTTCTTGGACAAAGAAAACGAACTGGGTAGAAAATTTCTTAGCGCCGTGGGTTCTCTCTACTTTCGAGTTCTAAGGAAGGGTTTCCAACTTTGTAAAAAGATATAGGTTGTTAAATGCGATCGACCCACCAACTAAGGAATTTTACAGGGAAAATGCAAAGCAGAATCAGTAGAAACACACACCAAAATCCCACTTCGAAATACAAGCGAATTAACGAAATAAGTAGTCATATAAACATAAACACGGCTGCAGTAGACTCATACACTAATCGAAAATACAAACAAGGCAGAGAGAAAGAGATTATACCCTATATAGATTGTGAAATTCGGCGCAGGGAAAGTAAAACTCTAACATCTTTCTCCAACACACTTACTGTTATCTTCCCCCACGCTTCCTGTTCTCCGCAAGAATAATCTGAAGAGGTGTGTGTCTTTTATACTCTGAATCGGAGCATTGTATCCATGAGCTTCGAAGACTGTACATTGAATGGAAATTTGGGTATTAAAAAGATTCCTTTGCAGGATTGATCTCATTAGGGAAGTAAAAACAGAAAATCCCAAGTCGTAAAATCCCTAGGGTGGCTGCAGACAAAGGGTTTGTAACGCTTCTGTGGTCCGCTTATCCTCCCGATCCAGCGTGTCGCTCATCTCCATGACTCTCAGTCTCATCCTCATTCTCTACATTAAACCAAAAACAACGCGATTCATTGCCTTTATTCCCAAATTCGCTCTCAGTGTTTATCCCATCTTTTCCCCGCCCTGCGTTGGTTTCAAACTTTACAATATGTTCACTACTTTCCTTCCATATTTGCCGCGAGGAAGGAAGAGGGGACGCATGCACTTGGTCTGTATCTACTCACGTGTAAGGCGGGTTACTTGATTTTTTTTTTTTCCATTCTCTTTTTTGGAAAATGACTAAATTTTCATATACCTTTTAAATATTTTTTTCCATATATGTTTTTTTTATACCATCTTTGCCATAAATTTTTGTACATAAGACACTGACGTTTATTTGCATATTAAATAGCCTGTTAGAAATGAACCAAACAATAACGTTGTATGAATGATTATGCATTTAATTAGATATATTGTTATTCAATGAATAGTTGTCAAATTTTTGAATTGACTTTACGAGTTTAACATTTTTACATTTTCAGCTTATAAAATCGTGTCAATTTATTCATAAACTCAGATTAGATACAAACTCAATTAAACTCATAAGTTTACCTCCAAGTTTAACATTTTTATGTATCTAACTTACAAATCGTGTAAACTAATTTATAAACTTGAATTATATACAAGTTTAGTTAAATTTGTTAAACTTATCACATTAAGTATATACTTTTTAAAAACTCGGTTCATAAAAATTATAAGACTTGATTTAAAAACAAAAAAAAAACTAAATATGTCTTGTATTTTAAAATAAGTTCTCCTATTTTAAAATTTTTATATCTTGTTTATGATAACTTATTAATGTAGATGAGTTTCATTTCAATAATTTATATTTTTAACATATTTAAATTAAATTATTATCATATCTTAATGGCTATTTGTTAATAGAAGTAAACTCTTCGAGTTTACAATTCAAGTTTTCGATATGAGTTTACATTCTTTTTACGAGTTTGCTTAAACTCATAAGTTTAACAACCTTGACTCATTTATTAATGTATTTTAATACAAAAATAATCATTATCAGTAATATTAAAATAAAATGAATAAAGAGATCACAAAGAGGGGGAGACAAAGCTTCGATCTTTTTTCCATATTTTCCGGCTAGATTTAAATTATTAAATAAAAATTCATAATATTTAGAATTTTTTTAATTTAATCTTGTATTAATTTTAATTTATTAAATTTTTAATGGTGATGAAAAAAATACATGTTGTATAGCTTGCTTCTTGGAATATTGGGTGAGATACAGCAGATAAAACCCAATCCATCCTAAGATCTTTAAGTTACAGACAATGCACTTAATATTGGTTATTGATTAAAATATTAAAAAATAGTTCACAAAAAACTTTTAGAAAAAATTAAAGAAATTCAAAACTTTTGCGATAACTATGTATGTTTTTCACTCAAACTACACTATTCATTATTTATGAATCATACAGTTTGGTTGTTGCAGATTTTATATTTTTATTGATGACTAGCCTGATTAACAATTGAATTGGATGAGGAAAGGAGCGAAGGGAGAAAACTAATGAAAAAAGTCAAAAACTTCTAAAAATAGTAAAATAATTGTCATTTTTGAAACCTTTTCCTTTGATTTTCCTCTTTCCTCATTTTCTTATTACTTTTTCCTCAATCCAAGCCAAGCATAAGAGACGTGCAAAAATTAATAAAAATATAAGTAAATATCGTAATACTGATGCTAAAGTAGCAACTACTTGACGGATTTATTTGGATATAAATATAAAACCCCCAATCTTTTAATCTGGCCTGTTTTTCTTTTTTGTTTTTTTTTTTCAAAATACCTTATTCTATCAACTAATCCATCAGTGCAGCAAATAGAGGTAGAACTGGGAGCATGAATTGGGTTCGAAGAGCTACCCATTTAAACTCATTTTTATTAAAATTTGAGTTTAAAAAATTAAATTTTTTTAGTATAATTGAGCTTTTAAATATTACCCTATAAAAACAGACTCAAGCTTAAGAGGCTCATTTATCTTTTTTTATTTAACCCTTAAAAAATATTTTTAAGTTTTAAATTAAATTTAGACTTTAAAATATATGTTTATATTTTAAAATTAAAATTTATATTACTTATTTTAATTTTTAAACATTATGATTTATATTTTGAAAACAAAAATATGTAATATTATGATGTAAAAAAATAAAGTTTTAAATAAAAAATAGGCTTATGGCCTTGACTCTAAACCTTTTGAATAAAGATTAGGCTTCAAAAAAAACAATCATCTTTAAAGAAACTGAATTTATGGGCAAACTTTGCCCATTTCCCAATTCTAAATAGGGGCAAAGAGGATTAATAAAGTAATATTAAAAATTAAGTTATTGAACACCAAACTGATCATTAAACCAGTCAAAATAGCAATTTAAGAGTTAATGATTTAACCGAGAGTTAGATCGGGATCAAACCAGTCATGAATAAACTAATAAAATACAATTAAAATATATAAATTTAAATAAAAATATATTAATCCTCAAAATATTAATAAAATAAATGAAAAATCCAAATAATTAAAAGATAATAAAAAATATGATTGAAAATAAAAAATATTTTAATTACTGAAATATATTTATAAATTTATATAGTTAAAGAAAAGGGGAAATCGTGTGTTAATAATATTTTAAATGCTAATTAAATATTTTAATTAGTGGTTGTTATTATTATTAGTAATATTAAAATTGAACAATAAAAAAATGTAGCTCCCAAAGAGAAGTGATTATGCATGCATCAGTTGCTAATTTGGTTTGAGAGGTCTATCAATGCTATGTTTTTGAAAAAACGAAGGGAGAGAAACTCAAAGCAACGCTTGCCATGTCTTTTCTCTCACTACTTCACGCTTCCTGTCGCTTCTCTTCTTCTTTCCTCTTTAGATTTCATCCAAAAATAGAAACAAGAAGGAGAGAACAACGCCAAAGAGTTGATGGCGAAACAACACAGTAGCTCGAGATGAGAAGTGATGGAAACTTAAGGTCGATGGATGATGGAGAGGATGAAGGCAAGGACGACGATGAGACTAAGAATCCATTGATATTTCATATTCAAACATTTAGGCTTCAGCTTCATCTTTTTTTCCCAAAAGAAACCTTAAAACTACATTGTTTTGGGGTATTTCAAGAAAAAAAAATATGACCCAATTAAACTAGCAACTTGCCGAGTTATCCAGGTTACCTCAGGTAAATTCGGGTCACTGTAAGACTGGGTTAACCAAAAATTCAGATTGGCGGAGAGACCGATTCACCAATCGAACTGGTGGAGATGTCAATTCATTGGTCGAACCCGGTGATTTGATCTGGGTTTCCATTTCATGTTAAAAACTACTTTATTGCTTTTTATTTTAGGTTGTATTTTAGGCTTGACTTTTTCACAAGTTATACTCTATAGGTGGTTTTTCTTTTTTCCCTAATTAATATGTTTAATAATTTTTTAAAATATGTAAATAATAATGAGATCTTATGAAATATCTTATCCTCTTAAGTTCCTAGAGACTTCTTTGTCATTAAATTTAAAAGTAAAAAAAATATATTTTTATCCTTAAAGAAAATAACAGAGAGGTGGCTTATAAAACACATTCCACGTGTTCTCTTTTCCATCTCTTCATCTCCCTTGCAACTATTTTTAGCTTTTGAAGCTTTCCAAATGATAGACTAGCAAGCTACCATTTATCTAAAATCTTCCTCTACTAGGTCATGTTTGTAAATTTCTTCTACTCTTATGTTGATGTTTTCGCATTTGTAAATTTCTTTTGCTCTCTTATGTTGACTTGTTTTGGGATGCATGGCTTTAAAAGCTTAGCTTTCATGTTTTGGAAAGATTCTTCTACGAGAAAAAAGTGGCTAAATAAGTAGTTGAGGTCATCATTTCCCTAATGTTGTGATCGTAAATGTTTGAGTTGTATTGATTTACACTAAATCGCTTCGCTTTATACCGAATGGCATGAGTATGCATTGATTCTCATGGGTAATTGCTGCGTAGCATAAGTATGGCTACGTGGCAGTAGGTCTTTGCAGTATAGCCAAATGATAGATGATGTTTTTAGTTGTATCCTAAATACAAAATTCAAAGTTATAAATAACTAATCTAAAGTTGCAAATATAAGAAGAATTATTGCTATTGCATAAAATGTTTAAAATATGTTGTCAACTTGTTTGGGAAACTAACACATGTTGATGAATGTTGATTTGACTGTTGTAGGGTGGTATAAGAAATAGATTCTAATTTTACTTCTACTTTTAAAAAAGAACTATTTTGCTATTGTAATGGCCTAGGAATTTAAGTAAAATTAAAATTTATGACAAGGTATTTTAATTATATTTTTATATATTATGGGGTGATTTTAGGAAGGTGTATTGATGGTTCGCCAGAATTTTCCTTGGTCCTCAATTATGAAGTCCCATATTCAAATCCTGTTGAAGCACAAATAGGAATTTTTTTGTGGTTATTATTTGGGTTAAGGGTCAAAAACGTCCTTGGAGTATACATGAAGGGTTACAAATAACCTTAAACTTAACTATGGGTCATTTATATCCTTCAACTTCAAAATTTTTTTACTCTGTTACCCTGCAATTTTATCCATTTAGTTTTTTTTAGCAAGGCCCATGATTGAATTTTTTAATATTTTCATTCTTTCCTTCCTCTCTCTCTCTCCTCCCCTACTCTCTCCCTCTCTCACTCGCCCTCTACTTCTCTGATTTTTCTTCCATGAGCATATGAAAATATATTGAGATAGATTACCATCTCGTGCATAAGAAGTTGCTCACCGAAGTGATTCAGTTGTTACATATTCATACTCATCATTTATTCGTTGACACATTCACCAAGGCTCTTGATCTTCAACCTTTCCATAATTTATTTTCCAAGCTAGGCATTTTGGATTTCCATGCTCCAGCTTACAGGGGGTCTTAGCATTTAAGATGAAGTAATAGCTAGATTAACAAGTTGCTAAAATGTTCTATATTAGTTAGACTAGTACCTATAATTAGCTTTCCATTTATTATTTATCAGTTACAGAGCATTTGTATAAAAATACTAAGTTATGATTAATAAGATCGATTCAAGTTTGACGAGGATAAGGGAGCTGGCACACACTTCCTCTCTCCTTTACTTT